CGCGACAAAAACGTTCGACTGCAGGGAATCGATTGAATGCTTTACTACAACAAGAAGAACCAGATGATGAACTAGAACTTTTATTCGCAGAAGATGAAAATGAAGAAGATCATGGATTTGTTGATGTGGAGGCCGATTCTGATGTACAAATGGATTCATCCGATGACGACGATGATCAAGGACCTGCAGCCGGCGCAGATGATCTCGAAGGAGAGAAAGAGTTACAGCGCAAGGAAAAGGCAGAACGAATGGCCAAAAAGCGCAAGATGAATGATGGCATGCCAAAGATATTCAAAAAGAGAGTTAAGATCGATCCTACAATTCCTTCGAAACCTGCTCCAAGACCGAAGAAAAAGTCTGAACGTGCTTCATGGATTCCAACCCCAGAGGATGCGCCGACTCGAGCTTCGGCTCGTGGTACTACCCAAAAGAGTAAAGAACAATTACATGCGCAAATGATAGATAGGGAAAAGAAGAGGTTAAAGCAATTGGCCAATATGGAGAAAGCAGCTGCAGCAAAGGAAGCCGCAAGGAAACCTGCTATGACACAGGAAGATAGATTGGCAGAAGCTGCAAGGGTAGAGAAGAGTAATTCCAAGAGTCTAAGTAGATGGGAAGAAGCAGAACAACAAAGGGAAGAAGAACAGAGGTTGAAACTAGCGGCATTGCATAACAGAAAATTGGATGGCCCGGTTATTACTTGGTGGAGTGGACGTGCGATGTGGGTTGGAGGGAAATTAATTGCACTTGGATCGAAGAAACTCAAACCGGATGAACCCAAGGAAAAATCGAAGAAGAGAAAGGCTGGAGAAATGGAGGATGAGAGTGAAGCTGGGTCTGTAGAACCAACTGCCTTGGAAGGAGCTGCTACTCCAGGTTCGGCTAGAAAAATTACGCCAATTAGCGATGTAAAGGAATCTACACCTGGAACCGCCTCTGGAGTTACCAATAATGATTTGAATAAAGATGGAATTTCGTTAAAGCAGGAATCTATATCAATTGTTTCAGACAACATTCTACATCCTCCTCCCCATCCAGAATCCCAACCTACCGGCGTTCTCAAACCACCACAGCCACCGACTATTCCACCATCAACCAGCATTCTTCAACCACCAAACCAAACGTCCGGAGTCGTACCAACTATAAGTGGACTTCAACCACCTCAGCAAACTACTGGTGCTGTTCCCCATATAAATGGACCTCTTCAACTTCCCCAGTCCCACAACCACGCCGTTCCGTTCATTCCCCTCCAAGCTCCTTCCACTGTCCCTCCATTCTTCCTTCAACCCCCATCCCTTGATGGATCCAAACCACTCCCCGGGTTTCAACCTCCAAATACAAACTATCCTCGTCTCATTCCCTCTCAGACGACTCCTTTCTCTTTCGCCCCTTCTCAGCATTACTCACCTTATTCTCCGGCCTCGGCTCCTCCTCCACCTCCTCCACCTCCTCTACAACCACCTGTTACGGAATATTCATTGAGGAATTGTCTAATTCTTACGAATTTTAATGATGATGAAATTAAAAATAAAGATGTACAGACGAGGATTCTTTTCAACCAAACTTTTCCTAAAGCTCCTAGTAAGTTTTCAGCCCTCCCCCTCACTCAAACAATTTTCTCTTCATCCTTTATATTCCCTTCTCCAACTATCATACATTTCCCTTCCACCCCTACTAACCCCATCTCTCAGCAAAAACCAAATCACAGACCCACCCCCCACGCACCCTCTGTGCAATAACACACTACCCCGCCAAATTCCGCGATCCAAAAACAGGTTTACCATATGTAAACTCGTATGCATATAAAGAGATCCAGAAATTAATAAGAGGAGAGTATAGATGGAGTAAATTACTCGGTGCTTATGTTGGCAATGCTAATGTGGCGGCGAGAGGAGTACCTGAAAAGTTTCTGAGGGGTGGCGAGAGAACTATACCATCAGTGGTGGGCACCCCGGGAATGGGAGCGGGAAATGGGACACCGGGGATTGCTATTGGAAAGGATATTCCGATGTCGGGATAGAGTGTGATGGTTTCATCACTTCGCAATTACTCGATGAGATATTATGAGTAGGCATAGGCGTCAGGCGTCAGGTATTAGGCATGAGGAAGGAGAGAAGGTGGAATACTTCTAGTCACGACTAGGTCACTGCCAGCTACCAGTTACCAGCTACCGGGCATTAGCTATTAAATACCACTTACTAGCTAAAAACAGCATATCACTTCTTGCTAGTTGACTATATACTCGGCTCAGCTCAGCTCAACTCATCAGCATAGCGATAGTTATGTATGAACGAATCAATGGATGAATGAATGAAATAAGTTAAAACATTCATAGAACTTAAACATGCAGACTTGGGTCATGATATTAAATGAACATCTACTACGTTTGCTATGCGTGATGTGTCCGGAGATTCCGTGAAATTTATCTCGGGGATAGATTAGGGGTCGGAAGAGATATATAGAGAGGGGGACTTCGATGCTTGTGAATTTGTACTGTATGTGCTGTGCTATACTGTAGTCTATTTGAAATATGAACTTGGCAGCTTGGATGGAGTTTGAAAGAAAGAAGGGAAGGAGGAAGGAGGAAGGAGGAAGGAGGAAAGGAAGGGAGGAAGGGAGGGAGGGAGGAAGGATGTCTTTGTAATTATTTCTTGATTGTTTGAGGTTGTTGAAGGTTGTTTAGATTTCCTTGGCTTGGCTAGGTTGATTGAATCATTGTAAGATTAACTCCAATATCCCATATTCTATTCCAGTGTCCTGCTTTCTGAGAACTGCTTTCTCAAGAATCACTTTCTCAAGAACTGATGAATGAGAGTCTTGAGATAAACTTCAGCTGTCTGGATTAAATCGATTATAGTCTTCGTATTTCTTTTATGGTTTAAGGCTGGTTGGGTTTTTCTCTTCTGACTTGCTTGTATTGGGTAGGTAGGTGGGTGTGTAGGTACTTGGGTATGTGAATGTAATTGTGATTCCAATAAATTCTCTTCCATCCTATCACACCCTTCATCCTTACCATAAGAGAACTTCAGAATAATGATCCCAAAACAAACTCCAGCAGTCCAGATTCAATCCACTCCCACAATGCCCCCAATACAGCAAGATAAATGCAGAACCCGTGACCTAACCCTAGATTAGAAAAATGAGGTCCGAGCTCCTTTAGCTTGAATTAACTTTACCTAACTTAACCTAACCTTGACCTTGAAAGTTGATTCTTTGAAGAAATTGATGTCTGAAGGGGATGATGGCTGATTTGTGAGGGGATTTATTTTTGGATGGGGGAGGGGGTGGCTTATAAATGGATATTGTGATGATGGATATTGAAGAGGTTGATTGTGATGATGGGTATTGCGATGATAAGGAGCTTGATTGTGATGATGATATGTGCCTTTTGAGTATGAGAGGGTTCTTTGTGAAACTTCGTTTGCAATTGGCTATGGATGGAGATAAGGCAGACGGAGATGAAGGAGATGGAGATTAAATGTGAGTTGTTTGAGAGTTGCTACCTACTACCTGGATATGTTTTGAGGAACGAAATCTTCTTCTGGGGAAGGGATTATATGGAGTTGCTTAGGAGAGGGATATGAGGCATACGACATAGGCGGTGACCATTTGATGATATCGGTTACTTGTCAGAGGATGAAGGAACGAAGGAATGAAAGAACGATTTGGATTTGGGTTTGGGAGATGGGCAGGATATATGGAATGGGATGAGGAACAAAACGGTGGCAGGAAGGATGCGGAGTTCGTTTTCGAGAGGAGGGGGTATTTGAAAGCGACGGGGAAAGGAGAGGAGGAGGGTGAAGGAGTGTTATGGTTGTGAGGATGGGCAGAGTCAGGGGAGACAAGGTTTGGGGGACAGCGAGGTCTGGGTGATTGAAGATCAGAGGGAGAGAGGGGTCGCATACCGTATTCGAAACTGTTCTGCTAAAGACAGCGTATGGGATGTTTAATCTTTGACTGCAGAACGGAGAAGAGAAGAATAATAATCTCTTCTAGGAGGTCAGGCGGAGGAGAAGAAAAGGAATGTTTCAAGGAGAGTTAGTTTGAAGAAAAGTTGGAGGAGCGACAGAATGGGGCATTGCATACGCTACGATTTGAAGGAGAAAATCATAGGTATAAGAGAATAGTTGTGCTTACTTACTTTTGCAGGCAGGGGACTGCGGTCTAGGGTCTACAGGTGAACTAGGCCTTTATATCCTGGATATCGAAGATACCTGACAGGGATGAGGAACTATTTTGGTAACAGGCAATCTCTACATATCATGAGTTATGATGCTATCTGTTTTATAAGCAAGCAAGTGCTGAACTGGAGAATACGAGAAGAATAAGAATGAGCTAGTGCTTACTTCTCTTATGGATAACAGATTGAGGTCTAAGGGAGAGTTGAATCCTGGATCTTCACTGTCGTGTAAGGACCAGTGGCATCTCAAAACAAGTGTCTTTGAGTGTTCGATTCGTTTAGACCATTCAGACCTTTTAAATACTGAATGCTTGAACTTATTCTACTTGTTCAGAATTTTGGATACCCTACCACTCACAGTGATTTCTTGTGGTTGGAGGTGTAGCGATTGTAAAGTGTGATGAGTTGAGATACTTTTCACTTTGCGAACAAGTGCTGAACTATCAGCCCTGTATTTAATACACAGGGATTATCCTTCCGGATCAGGACGTGGTAATGTGGTCAATTCGAGCTTGAAGAATAGGCAAAATACACATTCCTAATATCGGGATCGATAATACTTTCTTGTCTCTGTTAATTGTTTGTATTCCGTTGACTTGCCTATCTTCCTGCATTCATTGCCCATCCATTGTATCTTTATCTATTCATGCCAACCCTCAGCATCCTTACGGTCTCTATTGCTCAAGGCTTCTCCAACGTGCAAGTCCGCTACAATGCTTTTTCGTATCACTATCCTTCTTCCAAATTACCTGCATAATCCGACCCCCACCAATCGTTTCTACCAATCTCCCATGATCTACTCCATCTCAGATATCCTCACTCAAGCCGGAACAAAAGATCTAACCACCACGTTGTTGGCCGCAATTGGATTCTGTATACCTAAAGCAACACCCGAAGCACGATATGAAAGAACATAATCTTTAAGTCTGGCAAAGTCAGGTTCTCTTAACTTTCGCTTCCCTTGGGAACCCACATCGGATGCTGTGAAGTAAAGTTTTTCTAGCCCTCCAAACAATGTCCAGAAGATGGAATTCCAAACTGGCGCGGGAAAGAAATTTTCTTGCAAATCAGAATCATCAAGATCTGTACCTTTAGTGGAGACTTCACGAATATCTAAAAACTTGACGCTGCCCAATCCATCGGGTAATGAATCATGGACAAGTCGCAACCATTCTTCAGTTTCGTTGTATCCCCATTCTGGCATTTTGTTGAGGAAGGTGATTGACGCAGTGTCGATCTTAGGGTTGAAGATCAAGGGCCCTGGGCGGCGAGTGCCGTAGAACTTGTGCATCGCTCGGTAGTGAGGCTTGTAGATAGTAGTATATTTCATGTTCCAGAATGCTCGACTGTCCTTATTTACTTGAAAGATGCCTGGGATTGTAAATTTATACTCTTGTTGGCGAGTGGACCTCCGTGACTTAATCAAGTCAAAGTTAACCGTTCTTGGTCCCGGTAAACAGAGTTCATATATCATGTGTCTGATATCGATAGGAGTGGCATGGAATGGACTTCTTTGGCTTGGGTCGATTTGGACAGCGGGAGGAGGGTTAAAGGCCTATTGTTTCGTTGCAAGTTAGTGGTTGTCCTCGACAAAGACGCATACATAATTATGGGGCTATGCATATTCCGACTTACTAAAAACATAATGCGATATTGAGTATTGCGGTCATTGGGAGCAGGAGCAGCATTGATCGCGTTGTCATCGGCATCATCGTCGACTTTGTTCTCTCCATCTTCTCCTTGGGGTGCAGTAGTGTTATCGGCAGAGATGACATCATCCATCATGCTTTCATCTGACATTTCGATGTCGTTGTCAACTGCATATGCTCTATTTTCTTCGTGGGGAGAAAATGCGCCATTAGCAGGAGCAGTACCATCCATCATTTGTGCGTCAGTCATCTCGAAATCGTCGTCGATCGCATACTCTCCGTTGTTCATCTGGTTTGGAGAAAACGTATTGTCGTCAATGTGGTAACCTCCATCTGCCATATGATCTTGGGAGAACATATTGTTGTCAGTTTGGAAGCCTCCGTCTGCGATTTGATCGTGGGGGAGCATGTCTCCATGGATAAGTGAACCTCTATTGTTTATCTGACTCTGATTAATCATGTTGTCGCCAATAGAGTAACCTTGGTTCTGCAATTGCAAACGCATATAATCGGGGTCAAGGTAACCTAAGTCGAATCCATCTCCAACCTGGTGGGTCATTGTTGCGGATTTCAGAGGTATCGAGAACTCGAGAGAACCCGCAGTGTTTGGATTTATCGAGTCAACTGTAGAGAGTTTCAAATAATGAAACTATCAGTAAAATGAAGGGAGAAAATAGAAAGGTTTCCAAAATGTTACCAAAGATTTTGGAATTAAATCTTGATATCACAATTGGAGATTGTGCGTTTGGACGTTGGAGTGGGAGAGCATGTTGTAGTGGCTTAAGCGATTTAATTCAATTTTATTCAACTTTGGATTTCGTTAATTTTATTTGGTATAGATCACATCGGTGCACTCATCTAAATAATGAATGATCTGCTCAATACTCCGTCCACTGCTCTTTTCACTGTTTGGTTTACAGCTCCGTTTAATGCGCCATTCAATGCGCTTTTTGCAACTCTGTTAACGACATGGTTCACGGCATTTCTCAATACTCAGCTCATTGCTACTTTTACTGCCTTCCTGTCTCGAATCTACTCTTAAGTGCGCAAATTCCATTACAGCAACACGTCAGCTGTATTTCAATATCGTGATATCTAGATATCTTGGCAACTAGACCGGTAGATGGATTTGGTGGAAATATCTTCCTCACAGTAACATACATTTCGCCCGTTGCAATAGTTTGATATCTAGATATCTAAATAAGTATCCAAACAAATCAGACAAGCAAAACAGTCTCGCTCGGTAGTGTTTCCATTACAATATACCTATACTTATACTTATACACATTCACACACACACACACATACATTTTAGTATCTACATCTCCCGATCCCCAGATCTCCACATTTCCGAATCCACAAATCGACAGATAATATAAATAGGAGAAGTGCCTCTTACGGGGTGAGGGAAATGGGGTAGGGAGTATCTTCATTATCGTAATAGATGAATGTGGAGATGTTATTGGCAAAGTGAAAGTCAGAGTTGGATGGTGTTGTGAGGATTGCGATGTCGTAGTCTATTGTACGGATGTTTATAATGTTTATAATGTTATAGCCTTCTCATTTCTCATTTCCCTATTACCTTTTACCTCCAACTGAGACAATACCTCTCTAATCGGAATAAAATACCTAGATTGATAATTCTTCTTGCTGGATTCTTATGAGCAAAATTTCATAAAATCGTGTAATGCCGTAGTACCAATTCTATTTGCCAAAACAACTGAGCATGCCTTTGGTGTCGTTCTGTTCGAGGCATTCCCTGAGCTGAGTGAATAGACTTGTGATGTTGTCGTAGAATCCGTCTATAAATTACTGCAGCGAGTGTCAATGCTGTTGTATCATGAGGATTTGGAAGACTTTATCCTTTTCTTGCTGCTCTGAATCCACTATGAAGACTGATTTCGCGCGGAGTTTGGTTCACGGTAAGGTCGTGATATAGTTTTGGCGCATCGTGAAACCCTTTGGAAAGACCAACGGATATTTCTGCAAGGAACCAAAGAATTTCTTTGAAATTATGGACCTTCGTGTTGCAGATTTTGAAAAGAAGCCATTTGCTACTCTCATCGACCATTCATCATTGTCTCTACATTCTAGTGTTTCACATCCGCCTTCTGGCCAATAAAACCCGAAGATTCTCTATTCGATTGTTATACTTCTCCGTCTTCATCTTCTACTTGTTCTAGAGCCTCTATATCGCTATGCCCAGAGACTCTTCCTTGGGGGGGAGTAGCTTGTATAGCGTCCACAATAAATGGCTGGAAATCAGCGTGTGAATCAATGACCTGGATCACGGTATGCAAGTGCAGTAGAAATTATTCTCGTTTTTCTTCGACCAGTCGGGCTCCAATGGCTTTTTCATAACAAGTGTCAATGAGCTCGATTTGAGAGAACAGAGAGTTCGGTTGAAGGTGAATTGAAAATCTGGCGAAATCTAATCTCTACTACTCGATGTTTATATCCAGTCGGCCATCATCTATATCATACGATATTAGTATAATATTTCCCTGACCCTTAACAATTCAAAGTCTTGCTTCCCTATCCGGTGAAAGCCAGAAGATCATGACACCAATTACTCAATAGTCGCACTTCGGTATTTAATTCATCCTCAAAAAATGGTACGTGATCATTTTCCTGGGCAAAATCCGGTCTTTCTCATAAGGCGAATTTTCTGACCCCAGAAACCCACCATTCTACAAAGTCGAGTCTCTGAAGACACTGGCCTCTGAGTACATAGTGCACCAAGATATTTCCCTTGGTAGCCAGCCGATCCCCCAAACGGGGATTATACTGTTCTTAATTATTAATCCTCGGATTTCGAATAAGGCGCGTCGAGTATCGAGCTTGAAAACGTGTAGTTTGGAGTTAATATATCACACATTATCTTTTATATTCACCTACGGACGCCGATCCTATGTAAATTCCGTGGAAGAACATAACGTACTACACCTTGTATCGAAATATAGTGAAAGTATGTATTGAAATGAGGGGTAATGAGGGGTAATTCTAAGTTCTAAATAGCTAGAAGATACTATTCTTCAGGTAGTTAACCCTATTCTAGCATCCAAGGACCTTTGCAACTTTCATCTTTCTTTTTTATCTTCAAGTTCTTCCGCAAATAAAAGTGAAGTAAAATTTATGATCTGTTCAAAGTATCTAATCGCCCGGCGTCTCTCGGATTAAGCTCCAAATTTACCCACGAATTCATCACTAGGTTCCCAAATTATAGTGATCCCGAGACCGAACGAATTTGGAAGTCGCTAAATCACCTTTACTCCGTAGTCCCAAGGAATGTCATTATTGGAAAAATTTAGAGTTGATTTATCCTCTTCTGATTATTCTCGATCCTCCTTAAGAATTATTGGTACTCGTACTCTAGATTTGCATTGTGATAATCATCGGATTGTTACCTTGAGAATGACCGCCCATTAGGGATTCTTGGCCTTTGCCTACCATCTATAATACAATACATATTTGCCTACAATGCTGCGATACAAATACTGCAACAACTCGTTCATCTACCCTACACCATCTTCAACCGAATAAATCATGGTGGGGCGTCAACAAACTGATTTCAAGCAAGCATCGACCCAGCCTCCTATGCTTAACCCGTCCGGAACCAAAGCTTATAACAGACTAGCAGACCACATGGATGCATTCGTGGGGAGTTGACCTGATCAATTCTCACAGCCCACCTAGAATAACACTGACAATTCCTCCTCAGCATAACAATTTCCGCACGATGTGGAACGAGATTTACAGCGCCTGCACCAGCAACAAAAGCTCCAGCCGCTAATCCATCCACGCATTCCTCAACCTCGCCAAATATCTCTGTCCTCAACTCACCCTCCACCATACGATCGAAGAGCGGTACTTTCTCCCCGGGCTGGCCGCGCGAACGCCAGAGTTTCGCAAGGATCTTGTCGGTCAGCACCATGAGATTCATCACGGACTAAACCAAACGCATCGATATGTGAAGATGTGTCGCACTGGCGAGACCTAGCTCCAGCTTTCCCATCTGAAAGTTTTGATGGAGAGCTTTGGCGAAGTTTTATGGACACATCTGGATGATGAGGTTGGAGCTTTGGGAGTAGAGAATATGCGGAAATATTGGAATTCGCAGGAGATGGTTAAACTATATTAATAGATGTGCGGTCTGTCGCTTAGTGACACGAAGGAAGCTGATACGATACATACCTCATTAGTGGAGAAGATGAAGCTTGTTTAAGTGGGAAACCATTTTTCGAGCGAGGAGCGGAGATAAATAAATTTAAGACCACCAGGATACATTAGACGGGAGGAATCACGAACAGCCAAGTCATATTCGAAGGCATACAACAGTAGTTGTTGCATGGACTTTTGGAATTCCACAGTACCAATTCTCTCTAAAATTTCAGTGTGATTTTAACAACTGAGCTTATTTGAAACCCCCCCTCCCAGACAGAAGAATATCAAGATATTCCTAAAGCATTTAATACTTTTACTTGATTTTTGTACTATGTACAAGTTGCAATGTGGGACAATTAACGCGTGAATCTTGATGAGTTTCTGAAAAGGATGACTGTTGGTGTAATCCACAAGTTGAAGTTTTCTTGAACAGACTCCCATGAATCTGTGCACCCACTGTTGATGTTGGAGAATTTACGGCTAATGAGTGCTAACTAAAGAATGCCAATAATCCCACCAAACAATTACACACTCTTTCAAGCCTTTCCTGATCAAGAGAGACAAGCCTCGGAAAAGTTTGAGAACACAACTGCTTCCAAGGTTGAATTATATGGATTAACATTACTGCAAATATAAAAAGATAACTCTACACACGTCACATTTGTCTATCTTCCCATCAATCCGTGAAGTAGCGGAGCTTTCAAAGACCTTTACTACCCTGCCCGTTTGAGCCATATTAACGCGAGAAATTGGGCTCTAGATTCATACCGTCCAAAATTACAAGCTTTGGGAGCACAAATCCGTAAATACAGGTCACAAGGGAACTCTCAGATTCGTCACCTCATTTACCCCATTCCGTTCGTCAAGTGCCGATCGAGATAACAGTCCAAAAAAGCCTATATTGAATATTAGTAAACCGACCCCAAGTTATACAAATCTTAGATTGTCTCCGCGCCACTGATTTTGCACTACCAAAGGAGCTTGTGAGCCCCAGGTCCCAGACTGGTTTAATTTCCTTCGAGGCGAACTGAAACTGCATGCTTACCAGATAGTGAATAGCCAAGCAGCTTCGGCCCTCCCGTGTAAGCTGGAAGCATTGTAAATGTATCTGAAAATTAGAGGTGGGGAAAATACAAAGAAATTATAGCAAAATCTCTCTATAAGGATCCCCCTATATGAATAACCTCTTTATAAGGATATATTTTTCGAATCACGTGTATTCTCATTGACTTAATAGAATTATTAGGATTGGTTATTATATAGTAAATTCCTTAGGGTTCTAAAGAGATTTAGTTGAAATCCTAAAACATATTACGATTATGGCCCGATCGGTACTAATCGGGACTGAATTACTACCGCAATGGGTCGGGATTAGTCAGATACCTCCCTATATCATTAAACAAGACTACAAAAATCGGTATCCTTATACAGAGGTTTTGCCGTACAGTATAGATAGAAAATACATCTCACGGAACCTACCTGTGGAGTCCAGTATTTCCGACATCATCAACCTTATAGTCGAGTCCACAACAAATGTGGGTTAGCGCACACCAACATCAATGGTAAGATCTCGAAGCTATAGATTTACCTATGTCGCCGAAGCCGGTGGTCCATTAATCAATATAACGTGAAGTAATCCAACGTATTGAACACATGCCGACTCGTGGAATCTAAAATGCATGTATCCGGCATCGTATCCTAGCATTCCATTCCATTCACATTGATCCCATTGATTCTTATAGATGGAAATTTACCTTCGATAACCTTTGTTTCCTGTATCTCGCCATGTCCCAAATTCTCACGATTGTCGGTGCTACGGGTGCGCAAGGTGGCTCTATAGTTACCTCCGCCTTGAAGTCGGGAGACTACAAGGTCCGCGGTATCACTCGCAATGTTGAGAATGCCTCGGCCAAGACCCTCACTGCGCAGGCCGTCGAGATGGTGGCTGCGGACACTAGTGATATGGCAAGCCTCGTCAAAGCATCTGAGGCAAGTGTGTTTGTAGCTCAATGGGGGCGAAGAGCTAAAATTACCACATGCTAATTGAATAGGGTTCTCACGCCATCTTCGTTGTCACCGACTTCTTCGCCCCGGTCTTTGGCGCCGAGGAGACTGTTACTATTGAGTCTACTCAGGGTATCCCAAACAATCCTCCTTCCACTCTATCTATCTGTATAGATTCCCGAGTATGTAGTTTTCAATTATTCGGGTATGTTTTATCATTGCCTCCTTGCTCCCCTCTTACGTATAGTTCTTCCTAGCCATTTATGAAATCTATCATACCCCAATAGGCCCCTTTCATTTCTTTTTTTCCCCATTTGCGCATCTCAACACACACACACACACACAAGCATCTTATACGCCAAAGACCCCCCCTTTACACAAAAAATCTCATATGTATTTTGGGTATCCGCATCACTCAATATACTACTTTCTTCCGCTTTCTTCTTTCATTCACTCCCTCCTGAAGCACATAATATTCCATACAACCGCACCTCCAGTCTCTCGTCTCTTCCCTCCCCCCTTTAGTGCTAACTAACCATCAAAATACAACCCCCAACACCATCCAAATGCAACGCAAGCAATGCTTCCCTCACCACGAACCATCTAAATACAAGCCAATCCATTTTTGTAAAATACCATATATGCACGCACTTCCGTAATTTTTGAGATTTCCTTATTTCCCAACTTCAAATATGTTGTTGAAGCCCACAACCCCATCCATAAACTCCCCCAAAAGCCAAATTGCAAATGCATAGTACCAATGAACTCCATACGCGTTCAAGAGTTTCTATATGAAATAGCCAGGAACAAAATGTTTTAGTAGATCTTGCGAGCGTCCTTGATCTAACATCCTCAAAACTGTAAAACACTTATTATTTAACGCTTTCTCTGTCTCTTTGCCGCTTCACTCCTAGTTTGTCTCTCTTCCTCAACTGCCGGTGGTAAAATAGGAGCCGCTTTCTTAGTTTGCTTACGATTTCGTGGTTGATCCGAATGTAAATGACCTAGTTCTTCAATTGCGGTATTGTTGTGCCAGGATAAGCATCGATGAGCTGTATGATCGACATGAGGTTGTTGTTTTCCACGAGTCGACATTCGCTTGTGACTAGTAGAATCGATACTCTTTTCATCGCTAGGGTTGAGATATTCCTTGCGCTTTTCCATGTGGGTGGTGATCTTGTCCTTGTAAAGTTGGAGTTCTTTTCGAAGTTTCAACTCATTATTTCCACGGGCATCAAGCCAATTGAGTAAGCCCTCGACTGACTCAGGGTCGTCATAGTATCCCCACTCACGAGAATTGAATACGTGAGTATTTCCTTCCTCCATAACCTTTCTTTCCGGTACAGTCAGGTTGAATTTGTATCGATACTCATCTTGCCACTCAGGTCTCATTTCAATATAACCTTCGCGCTCAAGATCATCTGGTCCTTGAATCCAGATACAGCCGTTGGCATATCCAGCATCAGCAGTGGAGCTGGTAGGAAGACCACTATATGGCATACCATTGCGCTCAAACCAATAATAGCGATTCCAGAATCGATCCTTGCCAAGTACACGAGTACGAGGGCAATCAGCTTCTCGGAGGTCATTATCAAGAATAGCAATTTCTTCCTCACAATGTTTGATCTCATCATGCAATTTCTGGATGTCTTTGAGCACTTTTGTGAGTGCCTTGGATTGTTTAGGAGCCTTAGGTTCAGCTTCTGCTTTTGCCTTCTTCTCCTGTTCAGCCTCACGCTTACGCTTTCGCTCTGCTGCTCGGTCTAATCCACGGCGTAATGATCGAGTTGGAGGAGCCTCTCCATCCGAGTCCATAATTTCATCTCCATGAGAGTCCTGAACCTCATCCTCGGCGTCGACCATGGTTACATCTCCGTTAACGCTGACTGAAGTTTCTTTCTCTACAGGCTTCTCTGCAGCCGGTGCAGGACTTGGCTCAGGTGGTGGTTCAAGTGCTTTGCGCGTTTCGTTGAGCTTCTTGAGAGCATCATGACTAATACAATTAGTTACTTCCCCCAGAAGTGATATTGAATAACTTACGCATCCTTCTTATCACGCTGATACTTTATCTTTTCTTTCCGGAGCTCCGTCATGTGTTCACTACTTTCTTCCATGTAACCACGAATGGCTTTAGTCTCCATAGTAAGCATGCAAATAATCTGGAGTGCCTTGATACGAAGATTGACGTCGAGTTTGGCGTACTGTAGGCGAGCAGTTTCCTGTGTTGGCTCCGAATCGAGCGGGGCGAGCTCAACAAGAAGTGCTTCACAAGCGGCGAAATGCCTCTCATCTTTCGAAAGTTGATACAGGAGGCCGACCATGATAGCTTCCCAGCCACCATTCTTGAAATCACGTTTTCTTAGCTTCTCGATCCATTCAAGACTATCTTCCATCTCGGCTGCGCGATGAGTGTTGACTGGTCCAGTGGGCTCTTCGGGAGGTTGTTCGGCGGCTTTTTGTAAAGCTTCTGCCTCGGCTTTTGCGAGACTACTTCTAGTAGCACGTCCTCTGGGTTTTGGCTCTGGTTCTGGTGTAGGTGATGGTGCAACGCTGGCCTCACCATTAGATTCTTCTTCGTCATCTGACTCCTCTATTTCCGGTAACTGAATTTGCAGCTTTCCATCATCGGCTTCCGAATTAACCAAGATCTTCAAAACAGCGCAATGAATTTCGACGAACAATTCGCAGTCTACATCTTCAGATGTAAATTGCAAGGCTTCGACGAAGTCGTCAAAAGTGAACGAGTCCAATTTGAAGATTTGACAGTAAACATTCAAGGTGTCCCAGGTCTCCAGTAACTGGCCAATAGATGACATATGAATGCCATTACCCTCCGCCTTTGACTTTCCGATCATCATTGGATTATCTTGCGAAAAGTATTTGATGTCGGGTCGTTTCGGTCCATCAACTCGGGGAGGAACTTCCAAATCCTCGATTGGGTATTTGATGGGAGGTGGTGGAAGAGGAGCCGGAGGAAGCGATGCAAGAGGCGCAAGCGCAAAGCTAGAATTGTGAAAATTCTGGAAGTGGGGCCCCGCTTGTTGAGATTGTCCATTGACTTGAAAGGTGTGAGACATGAAGGGAGGAGCTTGAGGATGAGGATTGAATGGAATTTGAGGAGGGGGATTGTAATTGGGGTGGGGATGAGAAGGATGAGGAGGAGGAGGGTGAGAATTGAATGGAATTTGTGGTGGATTGTAGTTGGGGTGGGGTTGGGGGTAGAATTGATGGGGAGGGAAATGTGCAGGGATGAAATTCAAAGGAGCTTGCTCTAAAAATGGCTGCTGCTTACCCTTTGCTAGTTGGGATTGTTGCTGCTTGCTTTTATGGCTTTTGGGTGCTGGCTTCAACTCCGGGAGTCTAGCTTGTGGTCCATTTCCTCCATGAAAGCTACCAATCATATTGTCAAAATCAGTCCCTCCCGATTTTTTCTGAGATTGATGTTGCTTTCTCTCTGCAGCTTTACTCTCATATCGAAGATGTGGAGGAATCCTGGTATCGATATTATAAATGGCAGCCACGTCGTGCTTCACCAGCCAAGGCGCGCCGGTCCATGCCTCTCTTGTAACGGTTTTCTTGATAAATGACCGCAGAACTTGCTTTGTGAATATCTTGCGATCACGAGTAATATGCTGGTCGTCCACCACTGCCTCTTCATTTGGTCGACCATCCAGACTAACGAAATATCTCGAGAAAGGTGCGCTTAGTGAGCCATCTGGCAGAACTTTGCTTCCGAAGTGCGTCTTTTCTCTTACGGTACCAGTGAGTCGATCGCCTGTAATCACATGAACTGTAACAACCTCGCCAGGGAAATAGTCGGATCTGAACTCTTCGAAAATAATGTCCACCAAGGTGTCGATTCGTGAAATAGTTGAGAATTGTACACGTCTTAGAATTGGTTGTTTCAATGGATTCGGGAATGCCTCTTCGACTTCTTGTGCGCCTGCCAACTTTATAATATGTTAGCCTTCCCCCTTCACTAGCGCGGTGCGATTCTTATAATTCTCATACCTCACTCTTAAGTGCATCGAAGAATGTTAACTGAGAATGACCAGAAATTTGGCAAATGAATTTATGCTAGAAACTTTTAATAAATGTTGCTAGCTAGCTACTATTGGGTAGGTTTCGAACCTGTCTATAGAAATCCATTCTGTTGTTGTTAGCGCGGGTCCTCGGAAGGTTTTAGTGAGGGGCAAAAATGTAGAACTTACCGGCCTAAGTATTGTTCATACTCCAAGAAATACTCTCCAGTAGCAGGAATTACCCAGACCTATGACTGTTATTAGCCATCCTGTCATGATAGCAAATCTTCAGGGTAAAATTAAGTTTGTACCTCTGTGTCTTCATTTTCGACATGCGGCTTAGGTACATATTGTACTGGCTTCCTCTTAAAGAGAACCTAAGGAGATTTAGTTATGTTTATGTACTTTGAAGGGATACAAATTTGAGTCTTACCATTGTTATATTTATTTGTTGTCAAAGGTCATTGACCAAACAGAGAATCCTGACGGGGGAAGAGAAAGAATGTTAGTTTCTTATATACCCCTCCATAGAGCAAGCGACATGCTTTGCGCCAAACTTATATAAGAGTTGAAGCTCCTAAAAATTCGGTGGTGGTTTGATCTAACGGTGACGTGGAGTGGAGTATTGTAGAAAGGGTAATTGTGATCACCCTTCCACCAGTTGGGTAGTATTTATGGAAGTATATCAATATCAGCAGCTAAACTTACAGATATAGCTCAAGACGCGTCCAGGGGTCTCGGTACGTGATCTAGAAACCCTCCAAACGTATAGAATGTATGTGGTGAGTTGATGGTTGATGAAATTTGTTGATTGTTACGCGTTGTAAAGGTTGACAAGAGGAGGAAGAAGAAGAAGTGGATTGGGGAAAGAAGAAGAACATAAGAAAAGGTCGGGAGGTTGTGCTTAGCGTGGGTGTATGACATGGATACGGACTAGTGAGGACGGAGACCAATTCGAGAACTCGCGACCCATAACCGTATTCAATTCTATTAAGTGATATGAATTCTTCAAATCTCATGAATGAAGCAACTTTCCTGTGCTCAATATGTAGCCAGAGACGAGTTCTATTATATGAATGTCTATTGATCAGTTTATCTTTTAATTTGACCCAGTAACCACAAATATATGATTTTGGGGAAAAGATTTCCAACTAATAGGCATTTCTCATGTAATGCTCCTCGAATTTCGACCTAACTGCCAAGGACTCGGGAAGTGCTTAAAAGTGCTCGGATGTAATTCTTCTTCTTTGTTATTGACTTTCTATCAGTTCCTGAAGGCAATATTCACTCGTTTGAGCCGTACCGGTGTATACCGTGTTGAGTAGTCGTCTGTTGATATCGTCCCAAGGGTTCTCTCTAGATTCAGGGGGGTGAAAAGAACGGCTGTATTGTTCCTTCACATGATATACCGATTGATTCTTGGCCATGGTTACTCTAGATGATGTTGTCGTTGCTGACAATTCTTCAAAAAATTAATCATGACTGATCATTCTACATTAAAGTCTCACAACACACAAAAGTTTTGCCAGAAGAAAATCCGGGCGGATGCCATCGTTGGCAATTGACTAAAAAGGTTTAGCGCACCCGCTAAGCCAGGCCACGCTTTTGGAACAACCCAACCTCAACTCCCGAGCTTTGTCCTTCGAATACCCTACCAAATCATTAGAATTGCATGATTCTCATGTTTTCCACAAGAAAGGACCGAATCAATTGGAATTCACGATAATTTCTCATGAAAACATGATTATCGCATAATATATATAAATAGGGGGGCTGATATCCCTGCAAATTACCGTGCTGAACGTTGACATTGATGTTATCTCTTCCTTAAGGGACTGCACTTCTGGTAGTTGAATGCATCACATCTCGAAATGAAAATAGCTATGTTCCGTCCAATTCCAATCACTTTGACGTTTATTTCTAATTCTTTCTAATCTCTACTACTCCCTCAATCTTGCTATAAGAGCGTCCTTTGGGGTCCATATATCAGATACAGTCCCAATTAAGAGCAGCATCAGATGCTTAGATTGTTATTCCCCCTCTTAGACTTCCAGTCTGAGATACTGACAAGATTACAGAACACTCCAGCTTGACTTCAAAATCCCTCCTCTCCCCCACTCATTCGCCACAGCACAACCACCCCCGCCTAGGTCGATTCACTTGCAAACTGCTGTTTTGCAAGTTAATTTGATCCTATATTACTCACGCCTCCTAATTTCTAAAATGATCTAAGTCTCCAATCCCACACGTCCCCAACGTATAATAGCTCACTCCTTACCAACTTTAAGCACTTTTCCTCTCATCCCCAACCCCCCTACCTTCAATCTTCCTCCCACCTACACAGTCATTCTCACTATCCTGATACATCTTCAACAGGACCTATACACTTCTCTAACCATCTTCAATCTTCCACCTTCCATCTTCTAGCTCGACTTCATCCTTTTCTAATGCAAATATTCGTTTAGCACGATTCTCTCGTTTTAAATTTCGCTTAGGCACTTGTGCGAAATCATCAACTTGAAGCGTCTTCACAAATGTCATTCTAGACCCTTGTTGCACTATCAATAAAGTCCAAAACTTCTCAGAAACAAAATGGGTATCATTGACTAATCTTAACTATCAAAATATACAATCAAAAACCCAATCCAGCTTCCCACAACTCCAATTGCGGAGTATGAGCTCGTGAACATCAACGGCAAAAACTCCAGTTTATTACCAAACACGATTTGATGTAGCAGCGAACAATATAGTATCAAAGGTATGCTAACCGCAATGTAGAGTGTGCTAAATCTATCTAGCAAGAAGATTCTAGATTTTGACGCTGGCGCTAAGCGATCAAATGCAAGAAGGAACAAGATAAGCCAGAAAATCGTATACACGATTTTGGTAGGAAATTCTGCAGCCGTAAAAAGTAAAGGGAACAAGGAAACATGGCCAGCCACAGCCAATGGTCGAAATGCTCCAAGGAATCGACGATCCTTTAAGGCAATTAGGCTGAAAGGTATAATGACCAGGAGAATTGCTTTTTCGTGAACGTGCCAGCTGAAAAGAAATGAAGAGTAAGCACAGAGGGTTACACCCCCGATGAAATTGTCCCACGTAGGGCTTTTGTAAAGCTTGAACAGTGGAATGAAATCGAAAATGGCTGTCAAAGCGAAAGTCATGCCTTTGGTAACTTCGGGTAATACGGCGAACGAAGTGTTCCCAACGAGACCACGGGTAACACTATTGACAGCCGTTTGATCAACAGCGAGGCCGAGTTTAGGGGCAACTGTACTCGTATTAGTGACCAAATTGAGAGTATCGAAATACGAAGTTCAAGTAGCTTGAGATCATATTTAGGTGAAGAAAGACTTACTGGAAATTAACACTCGATCAGTGAAAGAGTACATAGCCCAGATATTTGGAGCCCAATAAGCATGACATAGACCTCTTCCAAATGGAAATAGTCTGCTAATGATTTGAGGCATTTGGCCAAAATATACAAATGGTCCAAATGCAGCTCCAAACACTGCTACAATACCAACTGCCAATTTAATAGCATTTCCGAATTTGATATCAAACGGGCGCTTAGGTCCAAACTTGGGCCCCAGGCAGTATCCGGATAATAAAAACACGAAATATGCTGGCGCAAGATAGAGGTAAATATGTTTGAGGCAAAGCAATATCGCAAAGAGTATACCACTTGCTAGCTTGGTCCCCTCATTTCTCGCCATGACCAAGGACAATATGAGGAGACCGTACATAAAACCATTGTATTGGAAGTGGATATGATCGATGATGAGTAAACCTGGCGAGAGCAGAATTGAAAGAGCCGCTGCTTGTGAAGGACGTTTTAAACTGGAAGGGGCGGTTTTGACGAAGCTTGAAGCTGTCAATATTGAAACAAGGGAAGGATCAACATCACTTACAGGTGAAGCGCATATACCAAGACTAATTCTGTTGCAATGACACTTGCGCGTTGAAAGTAAATGGTTTGCCAGCTGTCATATTCCAGATTCTTTACTACCAACATCAACGGGTCAATCCATTCTGCGAACTTTGATAGGAATAATTCGAAATATGCGAAGAAGGGTGGATAATCGAGAGTCCATTCTGAAGTCTTTTCGATATACCATTCATTCAATGGCAGACTGTTCGTAATGGCGAGCCAATTCCTGTGAACTTCAAAGTCTGTAGACTTGCTGCGATACCAATCAGTACGCTAGTTTGATTGAAAACTGGACGGAATTCCAATTGTGGAGGGGAGGATAGAGAGAACTAACTATGCTGGAAACAACAATATCTTGAAAGCCGTAGCTACCACTGCACATTGTGCAATCGAAGGATATAATTCAGCCATCTAGTCACACCCCATGTGAAGTTAGGATTGAATGAGATTGCTTTTGTATGAACGGGATCTCAATTTCCATGGATGAAATGGAATTGTGGTCTCCAGATAAATAAATATGAAGTGACATCTTGGTTCCACTACATGACATGACGGAATTTCTAAACGCCGACATCTATATTACTTGTAGTCTATGCACTCTTCAATAAGGTTATAATCGATATCAAGTCCGAGAATTCAGAATTTAAATTCAAATTGAGATGGATGTTTTTAACAGCTGTTGATGTATCCAAAAGCGATAGTTTAAATATACTCTGTGACTTGTATCGACGCTGTACTGTAATTATTATCTCCAACTTTCCATTGCAATGGGTTGGGTGTATAGTTTGAGTGAGTGAAGAGTGAGTGAAGACTGCATGGAGTGAGTGAAGACTGCATGGAGTGAGTGAAGAGTGACTGGAGTGAGTGAAGAGTGCATGGAGTGAGTGAAGAGTGACTGGCGTGAGTGAAGAGTGACTGGTGTGACTGGTGTCTCGAGTGTGGACTGTACTGTGTACCGCTTTTCCTATCTACATGGAGAAAATGCCGAAAACCCAAAGCTCTTCCCCGGTTACATTTTGACACCACAACCCCATTCGAAACAGCCCACCAAACAAGGATAATAGAAACATCAGAAACATCAGAAACACCAGTGACCTGTGACCTGTGACCAGTGACCAAAAACATCCAAAAGTTCCAAGCTTACCAGACAGAAACAACCCACACAAGGCGAGAAGGCGAGAAGGCTTCCATCCATGCAGAGAAGTCTTCTTTCTACCAATCCTCCTTCCGTCCTCCTCCCACATCTACCCAACGTCCCGTCGCAACAACATGGATCCAGCGTTTGTCCCATCGGAAATAGCTATACGACATATCATCAATCATAAATTCACCATAGAAATTGGCCCTTCCATTCAATCATTGGGGAAACCCATTCGCAATCTGATTCTTACTCTGGTGGGATTTTATTGTGTCACCAATATACTTCAAAATACATTGCAATCTGTCTTCAACTTGAACCGAAGCCGAAAAGAAGATTAAGCTGTGTGCATGTCCTTCATCTAGATGGTATCCCATATCCCATAAATTGTTACTTCAAAGCTCGAAATCAAAGTTCAAACCGCAAATTCCGCAAAGTTCTCCCGTGAGAAAGTGGCCTGGGGGTACCGGAACGGAGTACCAATTGATCAATTAATCCTGCCAAGTGTCTACTTCACTTCAATATTCAACACTGTTATTATTCGGAAGGTTACATACAGTAAGGATTTAACCCCTTTTCAACATACCCATTCATTCATTGTCTGTCTGTCCTCTTCATGATCATTTGAATCTTCCTCCTGGAAATTGAGGAAATTTTCTTCAAGGACGCTGGCAGTTCTTATTCTTATTCTGGGTGGTTTTGTTGAAGAATTAAGGAAAGTTCTCGAGTATAAACACAATGTATTTCTTCAAAGCATCCCTTACTTCAGTCGCCGCATTCGTTGCATATACCCAAGCTACATATCTTAATAACGATCTAAGTTTCGGTCATGATGGAAAGTAAGTTTATGTCAAGAATTCCATTTACTGCCATCCAAGATAACATGTGTTAACATTTATAGGATCTCTCCAAATGGTCGCGCCATTCCCAATTTTCACATGATAGGACAGCCAAACTATCCGGATATCCTCAGCAATCGCATCGTTCTTACACCACCTGCACCAGGAAATCAAAGAGGCGCTGTATGGACGGAAAAGAAGTTACAACATTCACAATGGGCAGCAGATATCGAATTTCGTGCTACTGGTCCGGAGAGGGCAGGTGGTAATCTGAATATCTGGTATGCTAAGAATGAGGATATCAAAGTATCAAGCATATACACGGTTGGAAAGTTTGATGGATTAGCGTTGGTTGTTGACCAATATGCTGGATCTGTAAGTTTCTATCTCTGCGATCTATCTTGCACAAGATACTGATAGCATTTAGGGTGGTTATATTCGTGGATTCCTTAACGACGGCACAACCGAATACTCTTCTCATCATTCTGTCGACTCCCTCGCATTTGGCCATTGCCCCTATTCCTACCGAAACCGAGGCATTCCATCCAAAATTCATATCCAGCAAAGTGCTGATAACTTCAAAGTCGAGGTTGACGGCGCCTTGTGCTTCCAATCCGACAAGATCAAGCTCCCCTTAGGTTATGTCTTTGGAGTTACTGCCGCTTCTGCAGAAAATCCAGATTCTTTTGAAATCTTCAAATTTGTTGTTACAACCGAATCCCATACTCCTGATGATCAAATTCAAAATCCAGGAAATCAAAATCAGCAACCATTCCAAGCTGCTAACAATCCACCTCAACAACAACAAAACCAATATGGCCAACAACAAAATCAAGCAGGACTCACCATGGATACACCTGGTGAAACTCCCGCGTCAGACTATAAATCCTCCGATGCGCAATTCGCAGATCTCCACAATCGTCTTCAAGCAATGATGAAACATATCACAGCTCTCAACCGCGATTTCTCTCAATACCAAGCCAATTCTATTTCTCGTCTTGAAGCTCTCAATGGAAATATCAATACGCTCTCCTCCACAATCTCTAGACTTGAATCTTCCCTCTCAAAACTCGATTCGGTTTCTGGCCTGGAAAGAAATCTAAGAGACGTAGCAAGTGATGTTAAGAGCACAAAGAAAGAACTACATGAAGCATTAGATGCGCATGTATTGAGTTTGAAACAAAGAGTGGCGGAAAGTCATGGTAGTGTACTTGGAACGGTAGGCGAAGGATTGAAAAACCATAGATCCGGGATTGGGTATGCGGGATTGGCATTCGTGGTGGTTGGTAGTCAAGTCGGATTAATTGTCGCTTATGTGTTGTATAAGAAGAGGAAGAACGGGGGACATAAGAAATACTTGTGAGGTGTGAGATGATGGGTGATGAATGATGGATGATGGAAGAGGAGGGCTAGGGAATTGTATAATATAGTATAGGAATGAATGTTTCTGAGTCAGAAATGCGGATCAACTCGAAACTCGAACCTGGAAAGAGAATGGAGATTAGAGTATGTAGTAAAGGGATTGAGTAGAGTAAAAAGAACGGAAGAATATCATGTTATAGTATTCATACAATATACACGATTACACTCGAGTTTATATTTATGTTCACATTCAGTATCTGTGTTTCGCAGGCATATTTACATTTATATCGATTTCAATCTTTCGGTTCTTTCTCTCTTTCATATCATCTCGTCTTTGAAAATAGTTTTCCGTCTCTGGTCTTCTTGTAAGCTTATTAAGATTGGGAAGATTTTCTTGATTGAGATATTTATTTATTTGTTTGGTCGGTTTTTTGGTCGGTTTTTGGTTTGCTGGATTGGATGGGATGGGATGGGATGGGATGGGAGTGGAGATGGGGATGGGGATAGCGGGGGGGGAGGAGACGGTGGGGAGAAGAGGGAGAAGAGGGAGAATGGAGACGGGAATAGAAATGGAGGGAAAGGGAAAGGGAAAGGGAAATAGTAAAGGAAATAAAGGAAAATAGAGATGGAAATAGATGAGGATTGAGGAGGAGGGTTTGTTTTAGAATTTGCTTTGTGATAAATAAGATGGATAAAATAATATGATTGTATATATAGTAACCGTGTACAGCTGTTCGTCGAGCATTAAAATCATACTAAAAATAGTCATTTTGTCCTATTTATTATATATAAAAAAAGAAATCTTCAAAATCATTGTAATAAATTGAAATTTTCTTCATATCTTTATTATATGTTAAGAGTTTAGGTTTGATGATTAATAAATACTAGAAATAGTACTTTTTTATATATTGATATTTAAAATATCAAAATTAATATTTCTTTTTTTTGAATTAGTACTTTTGACGTTTTTGTTCTAAATTCTTTTTCATTATTTTAATACTGAAATTAAAAATTATAATATTCTAGATTTATTTTTAAATTAATTTAATTTTAAAAAGAGAATCATTATTAGACAAATTAATAAAATTAAAATGTTTTATTAAATTATATTTCAAACTTTAATTTTTAGTTGAATAATAGTATATTGTAATAAATTTAGAATAAAAATGTCATTTTTTAAAAGTATTTAAAATAAAAGAATTAAAATTATTAGTTTTAGAAAAAGAAATGTTAATTATAACATTTTGAATATTAATATATAAAAAGTGTTATTTCTAGTATTTATTATTTAATAATTACCATAATTTAGAAATTTAGAAATATATTATTCATGAGATTGAATTTATATTAAGAAAAGCTCTCAATTTTTATTTAATTTATTGATAAATTTTAATGTTTTTAATTTATACTAACTTTTTATATAAATTTTATATTCAATAAAAATCCTAAAAATGAATAATCTTATTTTTATTAAATTTCAATTAAAAGTTAAGAGATTCATATTAAATTTATTATATATAAATTATATTTCCATTAAAAAATATATTAATGAGATATCTCCTAGAGTACGAACTTACGACGCCTTCGCTTAATGAGGACTTAGTAACTAATCACATCATTAGGATTCTCGAAATTTCATTAGATATTTACATATAATCTTTAATATAAAATCTCTTTTATAATATTCATATTTTAAAGTTTTAAAAATAATAAGATAAATTAATTTTGAATCTTTATTTATCTTACAATTTTTAAAAAAAAGTAAAAAACAAAATTAAAATTCTATCTTATAAATAAAGTGATCGGAAAAGTATGAAAGATATTAATCTGATTAATCTGACTTCTTTATATAGGGTATATTAAACGGACCACCCGGGCGCTTTAAATTCGCACTCTAGGGGATATGAGTTTTGGTGCGATTTCAATGTTCAACGAACAACTGTGCCCTAGTACTATATAATTATTATTAAAGGTTTGAAAAGGTTTTGAAGTTTTGGAGTTTTGATGGGAAATTCGGGGATAACGTAATGTAAGTAGAATAGTGGAAGAGTAGTGTGTGATAATGTGAGGTAGTGGAAGGTAGTGAGTGTAAGGTGAAGGGGATGTTTTTTTCTATACTTTCCGGTGGATTGTATTTTATGGGGGTAGCGTTGTATGGTTGTGTGGTAGTATGAATTGTGTATCTGTATGGTTATGATGGGTTATTTGATGGAATATAAAAGTATGCGAGTATGTAATAGGGTATGAGGGTATGAGGGTATGAGGGTATGAGGGTATGAGGGTATGAGGGTATGAGGGTATGAGGGTATGAGGGTATGAGGGTATGAGGGTATGAGGTATAATGATATAAGGATATGGGGGTATAATGATATAAGGATATGAGAGTATGTGATGGGGGATAAGAGTATGTTGATTGAAAGTATAATATAGATTGAGATAATAAAGGGTTCTTGAAGGGGGCAGAGGCAGGTTTTTGTGATTACGATTATGACTATTTTTGGGTATAAGGATAAAGGAAGGCCTGAAAAATGGTGTGTGGAATTTCGCATGTGTATTCTTGAGTATTTCGTTGTGGTTGTGTGTTTTGGGGGAGGGGGGAGGGAGACTAGGGATTGAGGATTGAGAATTGGGGATTGGGGATTGGGGATTGGAGGTAGGAAGTGAGTAGATGTTGTAGATGAGTGGGTTTGTTCTTTTTGATGAATCTCAATTTTCTGGGTATATAGGTATAGTAAATAAGTAAAGGGGGTACTAAATAGTGAGTTGGTGGGTAGGTAGGTGGGTATGGATGGACAGATAGACAGACGGCTTCTTGGGATTTGTTCGTGTGTTTAGGTGCATGTGTTGGTGGAGGTGGTGGTGGTGATGATGGTGATGTTGATCTTACTATGTATGGTTGAATGATGCGAAAGACAGACAAAAGTGGAGGAGATATAAGTATATTCAGCCTCTCTCGAGAATGTAAATGTAAAAGTAGGTAATTCGAGTACCCAAGTGATATAAATCTAATTATCTACTGTCATAAAACATAAATCTACACCAACACAAAAATCTATCAATCTATAACAACAAGAATGATATGAAACAACCTTACTCCTTTCCTGTATAATGTAACCAAATATCCACCATCCTTCTATTTTCATAAACGAGGAATGTCAAGACAAATGCTTGACATGTTAAAACACATTATCCCCTTATTCAGCCCCCTTGGTCTTCTTAGTCCTCAACTTCATCAACAAGAACACCAACGCATAGCTACTGAAAACAAACAGCGCACAGATTCCCGCATCCCTCCATCCATAGGTATAGCTTTTTAAATTCAAGTTGTGCAAATAATCGGTTCCGGTTGTGTACTCACAAACTTTGCATCCCTTTGTCGCATCTGGATTGATCAGGTTCGCCGCTGCCCCCATGCCCTGCAAATACGAAGCTAGATACTCGCCACAGGTACCATTTGCAGGGTTGAAAATAGCGAACTCGGATTCGCGACAATTGACGGGCTGATCCCAGGTACTGAAGACAAGGAGAGAGCCCATGAGATAGTTGAAGGGATTGACGTAGTACATCCAGTACCTCCAGAATGCGGTGATTTGCGCATAAGGCACGAGAACACCACAGAAAGAGACCAAGGTTCCGAGCACGAGAGGGTTGACCAACGAGGCGAAGACCACGTTTGGTGCGTAGGCGGCGACGAATTGACCGATACCGGTGTAGATGAACTCATAACAAATCATGACAAAGAGAACGGAACCTGCTCTGTGGGCATCATCTGGAAATCCAACGGTGTAGTACCAGCAGACGAAATAGAGAATAGCGCAAACAACAAGATAGGGGAGCTCGGAGATGACGTTTCCGGTGGCGAAGGCCCACCAGGAGTACATCTTTGATTTCTTCTCTCGCGTTTCGTAGATATCTCTTCGTTGGAGGAAAAGTGGTTGCAATTGGGCCAAGACACCCGGTGCGACGAAAATGAAGTTGAAAACCGTAAAGAGGCGTAATTGTAAACCGCCAACTGAATCTTTTATCATCCAGAAACTGAATCCGTTGAAGAGAGCAGATCCAATATGCAATGCGAATTTGTTGTTGATGTAATCTGTGTTGCGGTAAATGGATACGTTCATACGATGAGTGACAAGTTTGAGTTGTTGCCACATAGGGGTTGCGAATTCGAAGCCATCGTCGGTTGTTCCGGGAGGTGCAGCGGCAGCAGTGTCAATGATTCGATCGAGTTCTTTGACCGTGTATTCATATTCAGGTGAGTTGAGCCAAACTTCGTTCCAATCTTTTCCTTTACTCAAGGTGCCGGAAACAACGTCAATCATGTGTTCAGCGGGATTAGAAGATTCAGGACAAGGGGCATCGTAACGAGCAAAGTATTCCTTGATGGTTTTGGAATCCTCGCCGATATCACCGAAGTAGACGGTTTTGCCTCCTTTAGCGAGGAGCAAGAGAGAATCGAATTGAGCGAAGAGTTGAGCGGAAGGTTGATGGATAGTAACCAAGATAGCCTGACCAACATCCGCCAACTTCCTCAAGAAACGCACTGTATTGAAAGCAGCTTGACCATCCAGACCAGAAGTAGGTTCGTCCAAGAAAATAAGAATAGAGGGCTTAGAAACGAGTTCCACACCAATCGTCAAACGTTTTCTTTGCTCGACACTCAATCCAGCTCCGGTGTTACCAATCAATGTATTCTCCATATCGTGCATCTCCAAAAGATCAATGATCGTATCGACATATTTCAATTTCTCGGCGTCGGGGACGGTTCTTGATTGTCTGAGAAGTGCAGAGAATTCCAAGGCTTCGCGTACAGTGGCAAGTGGTTCGTGTACATCCAATTGCTCGCAATAGCCTGCAGAACGTTGAAACGAAACATTGAGAGGTCGGCCATCTACGAGGATAGAACCCTTGATGGTACCATCTGTCTTACGTTGCGCAAGTACGTCGAGAAGTGTCGTTTTTCCGGCTCCAGATGATCCCATGAGTGCACCTAACATACCCGGTTTGACCCATCCTTGTACATTGTCTAAGAGGACACGATCGCCAGAGGGAGTTTTAACGGTATAGGTAAGGTTCTTCCAGGTGAAAACAGAGGTGTTGCGCATTAATTGATCATTGGTTTCATCTTCCACTTTGGTATCTTGAGACGCAGGGCGAGAATTCTGCTGACGTTTTTCTTGGATATCTTGAGATTCCTCATCGCCTGCATTGGCAGCCTTGAGTACTGCAGT